GTCATACTCCCCGAACTCAAAAAATGACTCGAAAGCGCTAAAGGGCAGTGGGTTAACGAGCTCCCAAGCATCCTTTGGGCGTACCATTGTACACCACAGTCAACAACTCAAGAAATGGCCTACAGGTTGACCTATGGCGCCGACGCCATGATTCCAGTCAAAGTCGGCAAAACATCTCATCGACGGAACACCTTCAGTGGTGAGCAGAACATCCAAGAGACAACAGCCAACCTAGACTTGATCGATGAACTTAGAGAGGAAGCTCGGATCAAAGAAGAAGCTTGCAAACTTCGAGCCTCCAGAAGATACAACACCAAAGTCAAACCAAGGAAATTCCGACCAGGAAACCTCGTATGGCAACTCCGAGGTGACGCCAGAAAAGGCCCTGCCGAGGGAAAGCTAGCCCCGACATGGGAATGTCCATTCCAGATCAGTGAAGACCTCGAAAATGGAGCATACCGACTAGAGGAGCTCAGCGGGAAGACCATCCCGAGAACTTGGAATGCCACTCATCTTAAGTTTTATTTTAGCTGAATTGTATAAATGGGTTGCGCACTCTTCTCCCTACTCAGTCTTTTGTCCCAAAAAATAGAAAAATGGGTTTTGGTTGAGAGGGTTTTTAACTAGGCACACCCACAACATCAATAAAAATGACTCACTTTACTCATATTTCCTCAATTTCACGCTGTCTGGCACGACTTACATTAGGCCAAGGTCGAATTCGAACCTTGGCACGATTTACATTAAGCCAAGGTCGAATTCGAACCTTGGCACGATTTACATTAAGACAAGGTCGAATTCGAACCTTGGCACGATTTATATTAAGCCAAGGTGGAATTCGAACCTTGGCACGATTTATATTAAGCCAAGGTCGAATTCGAACCTTGGCACGAATTACATTAAGACAAGGTCAAATTCGAACCTTGGCACGATTCATACTAAAGGTCAAACTCGAACCTTTGCGCAAATTATGTTAATGGTCAAATTTGAACCTTAAGGCCAAATACTGGCCACGACAAAAATTAAAGGTCAAGTTTGAACTCCAAACACTTAAACTCGTTTTCAAACAACAGTGAGAAAAACAACACACACATATATATATATATATATATATATATATATAGAAAATTCAACCAAAAGTTCAACACAAAAGCTACAAGAAAACAAAACTAAATAAACTGTTATTACATATGCCAGCCTAAGTGGCGGTATTCTCGCTCGAGCTCTTTGGAAGGTCGTCCTCATTCACCAATTGCCCATCTCGCACATCTTTATCAATATGCATCAAAGAGAGGTCCACCCCAGGAGCAAGTAATCGGGCCTGGTGAGCCGCCTTAGCAAATCCTCTCTTATGCTCCACCAGAACGGCGCACTCGGTCTCGATGAGCCTCCTCTCCAAGCTTTTCTTCTCTGCGGCCACTGCATCGAGATCAGCCTTCAAGGAGCCAATCTCCTCCTCCCTGCCAGCCAGAAGCACCTCATCACAAAGATGCTTCTTGGCAGCCTCCCTCAGGTCGGACCTCAGCGCCACGTTCTCCTCCTCCAAGATCAGAACCTGGCCCTGCGAAGTTTCCACCTCGACCTTGCAAACCTTGGAAACCTCTTGCAAGTTGCAAACCTGGGCGGCGTACGCCTCATTGGCCTTCAAGGCGAGTTCCAAAGACTTCCGAGTCTTTGAAAAGTCTCTCTTTAGGGCTTGAAGCTCGGCTTCACTTTTCTTCGCCCTTTCAAGGTCGCCTTGAAGCTTCAGCCACTTGCACTTCTAGTGGTCCACGATGACAATGGACCTCTGCATGAAGACCTCCGTAGAATTTAGGCCTTCCACTGAACCAACTTTCTTTATCATCACCTTGTCAGTAACAAAGGTCGGGTCCTCCTTAAAAAATGCCTCTACGGTCATATTTGAACTCCACAGTGATGTTATGTCCGGAGACACACTCACAGGATCCAGCCTTGCCATTGGACGGCTGATATCGAAGCGTTGAACGATACACTTCGGTTGCGGAGCACCGGGATGAGGAGACGCAGCAACAAGAGGAGTCGACATTGGCACCTCAGAACTCGGCCCCTTCCCACGGGCTTCGGCAGAGGAAGGCATTGAACCCACCTATAAAAAAAATTTAAAGGAGTAAACACTTCTAAGTTACCAAGCAAGAACAATACACAACACAAAAGGAACATCATAAGGCAAATTGGGGTGTAATTGACAGGGGTCCACATTGACAAATTGGAGGAAGGCACACTTAAACTCGATGAATGGCAAGCAAACACCGAGATCCCTAAAGAAACACTCATACATGTAAAAAAATGGGGTATTCGGGGTACCCGCCATGTAAACACCCTCACCGGGCTGGCAAGGCTCTACTCGGATGAGCTTGGAAATTTTTGAACTACAAATTTTGAGCGTTTTCCACATGGCGTTGACATCCATAAATGCCCTGAATCGACTCTCGAACTCCCCAACGTCCCCTCTGACCCACTCGTACCTCGGGACGAAAATAGTGGGGTGAGAATCCTTAGGGTTGTTCTCACCCCTTTTCTTTTCAGCGGCGACCGTCTCGCTGGCTGCCGCCTTGCCACGCGCCTTGCCCTTACCTTTGGAAGGCGTAGGAGGCACAACACTCTCTCCCTCCCTAGCCATGGAAAATGAAGAAAACTCGAAAAGGGGAAGAGTGAAGGAGAAGACAAAAGAGGAGAAGTACCTGGTACTCCTTCAACAACGATAAAGATAACGACGAAGAACAGTGACCTGATTACCGAAAACGGCGACGATGGAGGAGAACGAGAACAATGAAGAAAGGTAAAGAAGAGAAAGGTGCAGAGAAGAGACTAAGCGTAAAGGAGAAGCCAAATGGGTGAAGGTGAAAGTGGGCGAAGGAGAGAAAGGCAAAGTGTTTCAAAAACAAAAGCAAAAAATGACAAAACGGACAGGGCATTAAATGGTGGCTCATAATGACGGGTACATCCCATCATTATAAACCGTCACCCCCCATTATGCGCCGCCCATGCGTTTCGGGAAACGAGTCGACATTTTATGACACATGGTGTTTCGCCTAAGAGGCATAAACAAAGAGTCGCGACCCTTCGCTAAACTCGGCATTAACTCCTCGACCTGCGGTCTTCAGAGCTCGAGGGGCTAGTGTACTATCCGTATCGTGAAGCCGAGCTTGAGCTCGACACTAAAACGCTAAATGACATTAGATATACGCCACATGACATCGACCAGAGCAAAGGCCCACTATATATCGGGCCAACACCAAACTCAGACCCAAATCAACGTTACCCTCGTATAAGAGGAAAACCCTAATTCACATCAAGGTACGTGCACTATATATATGAGACGATTACACTATCAAAAACTAACTTTAGCATCAGAGTCTTTTTTGCAGGTACCACCCCGACTTCGAAGTAGCCGACATACCCAGCAAAGAAGGCTCACCAATCTTGTCTAGTAGATCGTCCCTCATGACCGATCTCCGGTAAGAACAGTTTTAAAATCGAATTTGCGTATTCAAATAAAATATTTATTTTAATAATATTTTTTGACAATTTAAAATCATTAATATATGTTTAATCTATACTAATATAGAAAGGTATATCACTTTTAATAGCTACTTTTGATTTTCATTTTTACATGGATTATTTTATCCTTTACTTATTTTTCATAATTCTTTAAGATTATTTTTTTACAAGTAACTTCTCATTCTTTTCTTTTTTTATATTTTATTATGAAATTACTATAACTATTTATAAAAATTATTTTTTTCTTTTAATACAATACGCACAAAGTACTTTTTTCTTGCTAGTTTTTTTAAAAATTATTATGGTCATTTTCTTATCATTAAAAATATAAAAAAATTCAATTAATATGAATTTTTTAATGATTTAGAAACCGTTAGATAAAAAATCGCCGATAAATGCAATGACATTTTCGTTATATCAATGCGAAGATAAAATTGTGTGAGACTCATATTTTTTATTTCTCACCTAATATAATTCTTCGTAATCAAATTAACAAAATTATTTCCCTTTTCCTATTTCTTTGCCATTCTCTTATTTCTTCTCCATCTCTTTCGTAACAAACGGGACGTTAATATAGTTATCACTAATTCTTATCTTATTGATTAACTAAAAAAATTTCTTTAATACAATTTTAGTTATGATCTTAAATGTATTTTTTTTCATGCATTAAATTTGTCACCTAAAATCTAGTTTAGTAACTTACAATTTTATAAAATACCTTTTAAATATTATAATATATATTTGAAGAAAAAACACTTTATAGTACTTTATAATTTTATAAAACATATTTTATATTATGTGTTAATTTTGTATACATGCATTATACATTTTTTAAAAAATATACATTAACATATAAGTGTGATTTAGAACGGTTTCAAATTTCAATTCAAAAATTGAATCAAATTAATAATTTAGAAATTTATATTGGTTTTTGATTTAAATTGAACCAAATTGATAATTTAGAAATTTCTATCGATTTTTATTATCTTTTTATTTGCAATGTTTTTATGAATTTATTAGATTTTTTTGTTTATTTAAGAATTTTTCTATAAATTTCACTCTATAACTATCTATATTTTTAATTAATCACTTATTATTGTATTTTTTAGATTTTAATAAAATATGAGTATATTAATTTATAAATATTAATAAAAAAATATTTTTAAAATAATTACTTTCGACCTCATTTGTTATTGAATTTTTTAGCCATCTAATTATATAATAATTTCTTATAGACACGTGATAAAATGATGAACACATAAAAATGTAAGTATATGTTTTACTGTTAGAATTATGTCCAATTAATAATAGTAATAGTGCAGGGAAAAGCATCATCATATTATTATTATTACTTCTCGATTAAAAAAAAATGAAATGTTGACGTGGCTACGTTAGATCTCACGGTAACCCGTGCAACCGCATGTACTGGATCAAGGCCTACCTAGGGGGAAGTTTCTCGAATGTAGAAGAGTGCGGTTACAAATACTAACAAGAAATTTACGGTTCCAAATCAAACTCTCTCTCTCTCTCTCTCTCTCTCCCCGTGCCTGCAACTTAGATCGCGTTTCGCGAATTGTGAAGCCGGTAAGTTTCGAATCCTCTGTTTCATCTCCTTCTTTTTCGATCGTTATTGGTTGCATCGCACATGACAAAATTGCTGATTCGAAATTTTGTATTTTCGTTAAACGTGGAGAAAAATGGTGCAATCTTCTTCTTTTTCTAATTTCTTTTGAAATTTGGATATAAACTGATTTCCGTCTGGATGAAATAAGTTATGATTAGTTTCCTCTGTTAAGAACTTGTTGATTTTCCCGAATTGTTTTGGAAATTGCGGTTTTTGAAATTTGGGTGAAAGGTAATTTACGTTTGAGGAAAAATCAATATGATTAGTTTTGTTTTTTTGAACTTGTTCATTGTTTAGGATTGTTTTGAGAATTATGGTGGTTATTAGGGTTTGTGTTTTCTTCGCACCGAATTGGGATGTGTGTAATATTTTATTCTGTGTGGTGATAGGTGAAATAGTTTTAGCATCAAACATGAGGGGAAGAAGCTACAGTTACAGCCCATCGCCTCCAAGGCGTTACGGTCGACGAAGGCGCAGTCCTAGCCCTAGAGGTCGTTACAGAGGACGTGATAGGGATTTGCCAACAAGTCTTCTGGTTCGGAACCTCCACAGAGATTGCAGGTATGTGTGTCGATGATGTTTTTTTGTTTTGTGTTTTCAGTAGTTATTCTGGTTACTGTAATTGTTGCAGTGTTATTATTGTGTGGATATAGATTATGGGTCTTTTTTTTTGTTGCTTGTATATGTTTATTTGGTTTATCTTTTGTATGTAATGGAAGAAGCATAGCTGTCAAAAAGGTTGACTGGGTAGGAACTGTTTTTCCCCCTCTTGCGTGACATCTATGTATGGTTTGAATATTTTTGCTTCCCAGATCCCTGATGAAGCTTGAACAAAAGTTGTTATTATCTTCAGGGGTAGCTGAATCAGACATGGTTATAAATGCTTAGATTAGTTTATTTTGTATAAATAATGATTGTTTTTTTTCTTAAATTTTCTGGGGGAGTTTGATTGTGATGTAGAAAGGTATAGAAGTAATAATGATTACTAATTATTTTCAGTTTTTTGAGGGGCTTTGCTTGTTAATAATAATCTCTAAGAGATTTGCACTTACTGAACTATTCTTACTTTAATGCTAATTTTACAGGCCGGATGATCTGCATGGTCCATTTGGCCAATTTGGTCCTCTTAAGGACGTTTATCTGCCTCGAGATTATTATACTGGGTATGTATTTTGACATTGGCTTGGAATGGTTACTTGTGTGTTGAAAGATTTCTTGGCATACACTTTGTAAAATTGCTAAAGTTGTGTTTATTTTAACTACTATGAAGTTTTCAACTGTGAAGTTGTGTTAAGTTATTTCCTGAACTGGGGTTTTAGAAATTTTTGTGGTGGCTTCTTACCTAAGTATTTAGTTATGCCACTACTTTGTCAGTAACAATTAATACTTCAATTATTTTATGGGAATTTGGTTGTTTTATTGAAAGAGTTGAAGACACAAATGAAGTAATAAGAGTACTGTGTTGAAGAATAGAAGAAAGAAGTAATAAGAGTACTGTGTTGAAGAGAAGAAAGAAGTAATAAGAGTTCTGTTCAAGTTGATGTTAGTGTCCTTGAAGGTTCGGAAGGTTGAGTTTGAATTCATTGTGAAGAAGTCCAAGTCTTGAAGAGTTCAATCTCAATTTATACTTTGGCTTCTACGAGGTTAGCATCCATGTGGTGTTTATTATTGATTTCTATGGAGTGTTGAGAGTGTATGACTTGTGATAGTTCGGAGTCAGGATCATATTTGTGGATATCTGCAATCAACCCACATTCCGAATGTAGGTGTGTTTACTTAATAAACAATGCACATGGTGTTTCTAACTACTTTGAATTTTATGGTACAGGGAGCCAAGAGGTTTTGGGTTTGTCCAATATGTGGATCCAGCTGATGCTGCAGATGCAAAATATCACATGGACGGTCAAATTTTTCTTGGTCGTGAGATAACTGTAGTGTTTGCAGAAGAAAACAGAAAGAAACCTGCTGAAATGAGAGCAAGAGAACGTAGGAGGTAAGGAATATGAGACCATTAGTTGTTCGTATTGTTATTCTATTAGTGGCATAGTCGTGTATTAGTCATGTCATTTTGAAGGGCTTTTGTTTATTTTTTTTTTAATTGAATCAATATGTAGAGACCGATCATATGATTACAGGCGATCTCGTAGTCCAGACTATTCACCTTCTCCAAGACAAAGGCGACATTACAGGTTTGTTATTAACATTAGCTTATGGTATAAATTAAGGCAAAAATGTCTTTTTGGTCAAAATTTTGTGAATCTGTAATTTTGGTCTTCTTATTTTCAAATAGAGACATTTAATTTTTATATTTTTAAGAATACGAAATTTTGGTCCTATTGTCAATTTAATGTTCATTAATCATTAAATTTTAATATTGTTTGGTGTCATATAGATATAAAAACTTGCCAATGTTAACGCGTGATGAGAAGTTGAGAACTTATTTTTATTTTTTTTTATGTTTTTTTTTTCAATTTTTTATTTTCAAATGTCATGTCATTAAATTTGTATCATTTAAATACAAATAAACTTTAAAATTTAACAATTAACATAATGTGAATTTGACGGGACAACTAAAATTCTGCATTTTTAAAGTTAGGGGGATGTTTCTATTTAAAGCTTAAGGGACCAAAATTGTGGATGAATAAAAATAGAGGGACAAAAATGCAATTTAGTCTATAAATTTAATTTTGTTATGTAAAGGATTTGCAGTGTTTAGACTCACCAAATCATCATTATGATTCAGATCAATCTCACCAAGGGACAGAAGATATAGGGATCGGTCATACTCTAGATCACCTTATGGATCAAGAAGCCGCAGCAGAAGCAGGAGTTACAGCAGGAGCTTGAGCCGGAGTCCAGACTACTCTAGGTGATTCAGCTTGTTGGTGGATGCGGTGTAAAATGCTTTAGTTTTCATGTCTTTTTATCGAGCTTGTGTGTTGAAATACTTGAGATTGTTAGTATTTTATTTTGTTAATCTGGTAGAAAGGATCCGTGGTGGATTTTCTTCCCGAGCCTTATGATTAGACAAAAAATGTATTCGATCGATATTCGATTATAGTTCTGTCGTAGTGGTTGTTATTGTTAATGTAGTTATGGTTTTGATATGTGCCTTTCTGCCTACATGTTTTGTCATTGGGTTGCGGAGTTTACATCATGCTTACTTTATTTCTTTTACGATTAGGAACGCAGAGTTGTAGTATTGGTGCCGGGGCGGACGTTCATAGATAGGCAATTAGGGCTATTATTATGGTTTAGATGTAAAAAGTTATTTCATGTGATCTCAAAATTAAATTACCCAAGTAAATTGCAATGTGATACAAGTAAATGTTTGAATGTCATATTAACAAAATGTGATTCTTAGTATAAAATAATGTAATTTTTTCAGAGATTTTTAAGAAAACTAAGTAGTTAATTTATCTTGATTTTATAAGAAATTAGTATTTTAGTTTGGGTATTATACCAATTAAATATCTATCATAACTGAAATTTATTAATTATATTTAAATATACAAATTATATTATATTTAAATTATTTATTTTAATTTAAGAGTTGCTATTATTTTTATTATTTTTATATTTTTATATTAACAATTATTTTTACTTGAGCTATTCTTTATAATAAAAGTTAAATTCTAATTTAGTGTACATATTTTTTTTTTGGATGATTTTGTTTTCATATCTATCTCTTCCATTTCGTTTTATTTAGTTTATTTTTTCTTTGTACTTTATTTTAATTTTTTCTTGTAAATTTTAACTTATTTAACTATTAAGATTGGTTTAGTGGTCAGAGGAAGTAAAATTAAAATGTAGATAATTTATATTTGAACTTTAATATCTTTATTATAATTTTGATGAATAAAAAAAGTAATAATTTATTATATTTGTTTTTATTTTTTATTTTCTAAAAATTGAGAGTTATGAAATATTTTTTCTCTCTAATGATAAGTAATTTATATTGTAATATAAAATTATTTTTAATTATTTATAAAGTTTAAATATGTTTTTATTCATATAAAATGAGCTAAAAATCAAACCATTGATAATGTTACATTATATCTCACATAAATATGATATAAAAAAGCATTTTTTTACATTTTAATTGGAAGATTGTGTAAAAAAGCTATTTGATTTAAAAATATTTTTAGTTATTCAAATTTAAGATAATTTTATTTTTGATCCCTTAAATTTAAAATTAATTTTTTAATATCTGTAATAAAAAAATATTATTTTAATTCTTATGTTTAAAATTTGTTTATGAATTCATCAAATATTATCATACAAAATTTATTAATTAATATCATAATTAGTAAAAATATTATATTAAATTAGTTGATATTACATAATTATATTAATTTATTATTTTTTGATATGATTTAAGAAACTAAAATATATTTTTTTAAATTACAAGAATTTAAAAGATCAATTTTAAATTTGAGAAAATAAAAATAAATTTATCATAAATTTATAGATTAAAATTATGTTTAAGTGAAAATATTTTACAAATTTTTATTACAAATCATATGTGGATAACTTAGTTTTAAATATTCTTTACAAAAATAAGTATTATAAAACAACAAAATATCTCAAAGTTTGACCACGATTGAGGTGATATTTAGAGATAAATAAATTATAAAAAAAATCTCACTACTTCCTCATATTTTCTAACTCTTGAAGTCAAATAAAATATCCTACAAGATAATAATCTGATAAGATTCTCTTCTCGGTGGAGAGAAGAATTTCATACCCATTTCTCCTCATGTCATAGGAAGTTTAAAATCTCCACTAATCACAGTGTGTATGCTATGTAAAATATATAGTACTGGGTAAAATTCACTAAATTGAACTAAATTATTAATTAATTAAATTATATTAAATTAAAAAAATTAAAATTATTTAAGATAAAATTAAATTAAACTATTTTCTAGTTCAGTTTTAAAAAATTGAACCTATTAAGTTGCAGTTCGGTTCATTGCAATTAACTAAAAATAAAAAGTAAAATCACACGTTTCAATTTGTAAACGCCCACTTGCCTAGGGTTTCTAAATTAGAAATTGCAACTCGCATTTCGCAAGGCTCTTCACTTACCAGTCATGGCACGGGTTCTTGATTCACTACTCCTTCCTCACTCACCAATCATGTGACACCCTCTACCTCGCATATCATAACACATAATAATAAAATTTGAATAATAAAACATTTTATAATTAAAAAAAAATTTAACGTGTTCAGATAGAGAGTACTACATGTATAACTTAACAAAATCAGAAAAATTTAAAAAAAATAAAATAAAAGTAAAATCTCCAAAAATAATTTAATAAGTGAACATTCTAATTTAATCCTATCTACGTCCCGATGTCACATGTTCTATCAGAGCAAAGCCAAACTCTAAAGCCTAAGCTTCATCACCTACATTTCCAGCCTCATGCTGATAATCACCTGTACAACAGTCAAAGGAGAACAACAAAAAGAAAAGGGAGTGAGAAACATCTCACTCTAGCTCACAGTGTATAAATACACACCGGATAGCCAAACACAAACAAGACAGATATAGCACAGATTTATTAATAACAATATTACATCTCACTCATCCAAGACATAAAAATATCAATTAATTATATAACATTGAAAATGCACATGTATGGACACGGACTACATATTATCATGCATGTGGCGCCAGTAAAACATCACATGGCATATTGCCGCTAGCAATACACGAAGAGTAGTCTAGGAGTACATGTCGGGTCACACCCTCTGCGCACTCTCGCTAGAAGGATATACTACCAGAGTCTCTTCGGGATAGCTAAGCCGCGCAAGATACATCCCATGCACACAATGGGCGAGACTGAGACTTCCAAACCGAGCTATCCCCAAGGACTAATCCCCAAAGCTTTTACACTAGGGGGCCTTCTCTGGCGGTGTATTCCATATTGTACCCTTAAAACACTTATGCAAATGATGCATGTCAATCACGATTCTATGCATTCTCATATCACATTATCATTTCTCATGGTCATTTCACATCATCACATTTCATTATCACATTTCATATCTCATGTCTAAATCACATTTCACATTATCTCATCATATTCACAAAGCCTCCACAGATCACTTTAATTTATATCAAAACTCGTTTATTTATTAAATTAAATACATATTTTTACATCTCAACAAACAAGGAATATAACAGAACAATCAGAAATCAAAACAGAAAATATTCATATTTTGTTTATTTCTCATAGGGTTTCTCGCAGGAACCCATAGAGCACTCTAAATCATATCAAAACACATTTATTCCCAAAATTAATCACATACTTACACATTACATTTAACAAGGAATACAATAGAGCAATCAGAAATCAAAATAGAAAATATTCATATTTTGTTTATTTCTCATAGGGTTTCTCGCAGGAACCCATAGAGCACTCTAAATCATACAATTAATTGTATATAAGAAAAATAATGAGCAAAACAGATACAATTGGGAAAAACTCCTCATACATGAGCATACAAAAAATACAGCAAACACAGGATTGGGGGCCAATCCCACTACCCAGCATATATTCCCACACCCAGAGCAAGATTTCTCACTCCCCCTTACCTCGATAAGCAGGAGCTGAATCTTGTTGATTGCCCCCTCTAGGTTCCCCTTCGTCTTCATAGAGAAAGGAGGAAAAAGATTAGAAAATGAATAAATGAATTTTAAAGAGTGCAAAACGCTCTATTTATAGGCATCAGGCCGCGGCCAGAACGACCTGTTCCAAAACCAGAACGGCCCGTTTTGGACTCCTTCGTTATCTCAAAAATATGCCACTGGAACGGGCCGTTCTGGACTTATTAATGCTACGTAAAAAATGTAACCGGAACGGCCCGTTCTTCAATCAGAACGGCCCGTTATGGGTTCCAACTTTGCTTATAAAATCATGTACCGGAACGGCCCGTTCTTAAATCGGAACGGCCCGTTCTGGTTTCAAATTTTTCTCATAAAAACATGTCTTGGAACGGCCCGTTTCGATGCAAGATTTATATGCTGTTCTAATAGTTTGGAACGGCCCGTTCTGGGCTACTAAAATAAATTTTTTTTTCGTAAATAATTCTTATTAAAATATTCATATTCATTAAAAACATCTAAAATATTTTATAAAACCCAGTTAATTTTTGAAAATAAGCATAATAATTAATCTCCATATATAAAAATAATAATAACAATTAATTATTACATTGGTAAAAATTTTCAGGATGTTACAAACCACGGGCCACGGCGCGGATTCTTGATTCACCATTTCTCCTTCCTTACTCACCAACTCACATAACAGTTCAATTTAGTTCATATTATAATTCAGTGTAGTTTAGTGCATTACAGTTTAATAGAATAAAAAATAGTTCAGTTCAGTTCAGTTTGTGATCAAATTTTCAGTTCAGTTCAATTGAATTGAACTATTTTTCAGTTTAATACAATTTTTAACATTTAGTTTAGTGCAATTTAATTTTCCCACCCCTAAGAATATGCTTCATTTTAATGGAGTTCTATATGAAGTTTTTGCAAAAAAGAAATAATTTCATCTTTGGTTTTCTTTCAATTCAGAACATCACAATAGTGTTTATCAATTTTATAAACTACTTAATTTTTGTAGATATTTTTATAATGAACATGATATCACATTTTTCTTTGCATACTCACTTGTGTACGTCAAAAACAACTCTTCTACTAGAACTCTTCTTTATCACCACTACCTCTTGGATGGATAAAAAAAGACATGTATATAAATTATAATAGTCTAGTAGTATCTGTCTTATCAAATTCTGAAATTACTGTCGCAACCCGAAAATTTACGATCTTGCGACCTATGGTTTAGACATCCTTTTAAAAATCTCATCAATTAAAGAATCCCCGGATACCAGACTAATCCTTAATAAATGGTTTTAAAAATGGATTCATGGAGTTGCCACTAATGTTTTACTCAAAACATTGGAAAAAGAAAAGGTTTTTTTTTTGAAAAAAGAATCCAATAATGCTCTTGATAACCAGAATTAGGTTCGGGGGTCAGTTACGCGTAGGGAAGGTATTAAGCACCCCTACAACGCCTTCAATCGGTACCCTATGATG